CAGAGGGCCGTGGCTCGCAATTCCGGAGGACTGTAAGAAGTCCAGAGCCAGGGTTCCTGTGCCCACGTCCGATACGCTAACCATGACAGCTAAATGGAACCTCCATAGCCCAAGGCAATGTACCTCTGACTATCAAATGCTGAGAAGAAACAGCAAGGGGAGGGGTTTGGAAGGCTGCTTAGTTCTACCAAAATTAACAGGCCAATGTTTAAAGTATTGAAAACTTTGTAGAATGCCTGCAGATTGACAGGCTGGAAACAGGCATACTTCACCAATCAACAGTGGTATTGCCTGTTCTCCAAACTCAATACAAATACAGTCGTACCTTGGAAGTCGAACGGAATCCTCCTGCAGCCAATCGGAAGCCGCGGAAGCCCTGTCGGAAATTTGGCTTCAAAAAATAGTTCGCAAACCGGAACAGTTACTTCCAGGTTTGCGGCGTTCGGGAGCCAAAACGTTTGAGAACTAAGCTGTTTGAAAACCAAGGTACGACTGTAATGACAAATTTTTGTTAGTAGTGAGGGGCCTTTTATGAAAAGGTGTGTGTGCATGAACATACGCACACTTTGCACTTTGGAGAAAACTTTCCGTGTCCTGTCGTGAACTTCCACGATACACCTTTCCCTACTTTTCCTTGCAGGGTCAGCATTTATTTTTACAACCTGTTGGCTGAAAGCCAGCTAAGTGTGTGAGCGACAGAATCCTGCAATGCCCAGGTTGGCTGCATTCTGGGCATGGGTTGGTGTTTCTCAGAAGTTTGTTGGTGGTTCTCCGAGTAGATCAGGAATGGTGGGCATCTTATGTTTCAAGTTTCGTGCTCAGCCAAAGGTTGGGTTGGGGAGCTGGCGCACTCAGAGCGATGGCGACACATAGCAAGCCTGGTCAGTGTGCACTTTGTGGCTTCCCAGCACCGTCCACAATGCCAAGATGCTCTGTGGCAGGCCCGTCTCTGGGAAAGGGTTCCCTCAGCGTGGAAACAAGGGGTTAGTACAGGCAAGCAGCCAATTTCTTTCCTTCTGTACATTCCTGTTTGGTTCTCTTTTCTGGTTCTGCTTGTGAGCTAGTGAGCTACTGAATATCTTCCTATATACATTAAAATGTAATGCTGTCATCACACAGTCCTCATCAAAGGATTTCTAATTGCATGGGGCAAGAAGGGGAGGCTCTAGGGGAGGTTAATGGGGGGGGGAATAGAAGGGTGGTTGGCGAGGGGAGCAGGCAGCCCTACAGCTGTACAGTGTGTGTGTTTTGTATATATGTTTGCTGCTTCATGCACTCTGGTGTTGCCTCTGTGTGCCAAGGGAGGGGTTCTCATTGAGAACCCAACTGCCCCAGAACTTCAGACCTCCCTGCTCTTCAGGAGCATGAAATGTGCTTCGCCCTGCCTCCATCTGAGCAGCGCGTCAACTTCCCCAGTCTAAAAAGGAGGAGAAGTTGGGAGTGGACTTCCTCCTATAGTGCTCGCTAGAAAAAGCCATTGTGTTTTTTTATTTTATTCGGCTGGCAGAAGGGGGAGTCTTTCAAACGGTTCTATTTCGGTGCTGCGCGGCTGCCGTTGCCGCACGTCAACGCTGCCCTTCCTAGTGCGTGACCGGGAACTCTGCGCTCCCAAGTGGGGGGGGCTGACCCCCTTTCGCGCCAGGAGCTTTCCTTCCCAAATGGGTGGGCCTCCCCCTCCGGCCAGCGCGTCCATAGGTGCCAGTCTGCCACCTGCAAGGTAACGGTGCACATCTTGTGTCGATTTGGGGCGGGGTCCTTCCTTTACTTTCTCTGCTGCGCTGGAGTACGGGGGAAGCCCCTTCCTGAAAGTGCGCTTGCTGTTTTGCAATTTTTGGCTGTGTCACTAAGGGGGGGTGGGGTTTCCACCGCCGGGTGGGCTATTTTCAGTGTGCACGAGTGTGTTGTTAAGACAATCCTGGCTTTAAAATAGGAGTTTCTACAAAGCTGGAATATCCAGGTGCGCTGATACGTAGTTGTCCGATGGGAAGGAAAACCCAAATATGGCACCTCTCCTTTGGAAGGCAGGACCAGTTGTTGCTGTTTTGCAGGGCAAGGGGTATTGTGGTGCTTGGGGGTTCCTCCTGTTTAACTACGACCGCTGGATCCCACCTACCCACGCTCTCTCCCCTACCCCCACCCGTTTCCCAGTGACCACTGGAAGGCTTGAGGTGAAGCACGAGGCCTGGTGTGTGGAAGCGAGAGCAGTTGCTGAGTCATCCACAGGCTGGTCTCGCTGATAGACCCAGCAGGCGGGGGCCCGGCTGGGGGGCAAAGAGCTCAGGCGCCCGACCAGCGGCGGAGCACGTTTGCGTGCCTTTCTGGATTCCGGATCCGGAGCGGATTGGAGGCTTCTGGCGTTGGCTTCCAAGTTCTGCCGGCTCTTCTGGGCCGGGTGGCTCGCCCCACCTGGGGTTCAGCCGCCCAGAAGCGTGGCGGCGTGGTATCTGTGGGGGTCCTCTCAGCCACGTGGTGCCCCTGCTTCTTCCTTGCGTTCGTTCTGACCAAGGGCATGTGAAGTTTCTGCACCACCAGCAGCGTAAGAAAGGATCCTCCTCGTCCTGCTATCTCCTTCGCTCCAGCTCCTGGCCTGCTGCAGCTAACTCTCTCCTCGCTTTGCCCATTATCGAGACCCCTGCTTCTCAGATCGCTGCCTGCTATGTCTTCCTGTCCCCCACTCCGACCCCGGGGATGTCTTGCCACTCAGGCCTGCTCTTGACACATGCCAGACCCCGGCGGCTTTCCTCTTCCCGGGCGAGCTCCCAAAATGTCGCACGGCTCAGTGTTTTGTGACTGACCCTTTCCCCCTCGGAAAGTTCCCAGCCGATCTGAAATCGCAGCCGCTGGGTGCTCCGTGCAGCAGCCCATTGCGAGCGTGTGATTGTTAAAGCAAGCTTGCAATCTGAGCGAGCTGTGAATCAGAAGCGGGGAACCTTTTCCAGCCTCCTGGGGAAAGTGGGGGTGCCAGGGGGCCCCCGTCTTGCAGTGGTTGATGGAGCTAGATTCAGAAGTTGGCATAGCTACTTCTGCAGTGGGCAGAACGCTGCCGTTTACAAGACTTGGATTGTGATCGCTATTATTTAAAGGACTCTCTCTCTGCCAGCAAACTTTCCTCGAGAGGCGTTCCCGTCAGTTTGCCTTTAAATTGCAAGCATGGGTTTTCTCGAGCCTGCCTGCAGACAGAGGCTGCCCATGTGCTGCTGACTGGGGCGGGCAACGAACGCGCTTCCTGCTCGGAGTGGCGTGCGCTGCAACGATAAAAACACTTTTGCAGGATGAGGAGAGGGGCTTGCTGGGAGGGCGTCACGCTCTAGAGCCAAGCGGGCTGCGAAATCCCATGCCTTTGTGTAGAGACAGGCCTTTGAGAGAGCGCTGGACTTCCTTGCACAAACCTGAGAGGCTTGGGCCAGGGCCGGCCCTACCATTAGGTAGAGATGAGGTTGCTTGCCTCAGGCAGCAGGTGCTTAGAGGCTGTGAATGAGGCGCTGGAGGGACAGAGGGGTGCTTATATGTCTCACAGCATGCCTGCCCCCCGCTAAGCTAGCTGGGTACCCTCAGGTGCACTGTAGTGCAGGATATCATCCCGTTGCAAAGTGTGGAACTAAGACCACACTCACAGCAGTCAATCAAAGCACTATGATACCACGGTAAACAGTCACGGTTCCAGTTTCAGAATTCAGGGATGCATCCCAGCCAGGTACAAGCCCTCAAGGAGAATACAAACCAGGACTACAAGGAGGTGTTGCTTGGGAGAATGTCTTGCCTGGGGAAAAGTCCTGAGGGTCAGATCCAGAGGCTTGCAGGACCACCTGTGTGGAAGGTTCTCCACCCCTCCTGTATGGGTGGTGGAGCAGATACTTGAAAACGTAGCATGTCTATTCCTTTTCCTTGGAAGAATCTGGTCTGTGTGCAAAACGGGGGGTGGGGGTGGGAATGGTCAGGGGGCTGCTCTGGGAGACAGATGTGGAGTCTGATAGCCAGGAACAACCTTCTCCTATAGATGGTCAGGGATCTATACAGTGGTACCTCGGGTTACATACGCTTCAGGTTACAGACTCTGCTAACCCAGAAATGGTGCTTCAGGTTAAGAACTTTGCTTCAGGATAAGAACAGAAATTGTGCTCCGACGGCGCAGCAGCAGCAGGAGGCCCCACTAGCTAAAGTGGTGCTTCAGGTTAAGAACAGTTTCAGGCTAAGAACGGACCTCCAGAATAAATTAAGTACTTAACCCAAGGAACCACTGTATTGCAGTTTTTAAGGCTATACATTTACAACCACATGCATTTATTGCATTTTAATATTGCTGTGTTGTCTCTTCCCTAGCCCTCTCCTCATAACAGCCCTGCGAGGTAAGTCAAGCTGAGCCATAGCAACTGAAGGTTGCCCTTGAGCTGACCTTGGAACCTGAATCTCTCCAAATCCTAACCAGACACCCTTTCCGCTCAGTTTCACTAACTAAATAAGAGGTTTTGGGTTTAAAATGTCCTTGAAAGACAATGCAGGGATGTTCTTCTTGGGGGACGCAAGGACCCAACCAGCTCACTTTTGGTAAACCATTTTGAGTTTCCTTTCTTCTTCTTTTTGCAATCAGACAGTGTGTAAATCTTACGAAATAAATAAAATAAATGGAAACTCTCCTGAGGGGAAATCTCTTGAAATTGACCCGTATACAGTGGTACCTTGGTTTACATATGCTTCAGGTTGCAGACTCCGCTAAGGCAGAAATAGTACCTCAGGTTAAGAACTTTGCTTCGGGATGAGAACAGAAATCGCGCAGCAGTGGCGGGAGGCCCCATTTGCTAAGGTGGTGTCTCAGGTTAAGAACAGTTTCAGGTTAAGAACGGACCTTCGGGACGAATTAAGTACGTAACCAGAGGTACCACTGTAGTCAGAACTGGCAGTGTCTATGAATTCAAGTCCATTGTTGCTCCTGTGGCGTTATTACTCTTATTACTACTTTTGCAATTCATTCCTATTGCGGTTGTGTTCTCGTTTTTCCGCAGTGCACCCAAATGTTTCCGGCCCCTGTGATGAACGGGCTCCCTGCCCCGCCAGGCGACCCCGCGCACCCCGGCGGCTGGAATGAGTTTTGCGAGCACCATGCCATCTCCACCGCCAGAGAGCTGGCCCGCAAGTACCTCCTCTTTGTCAGCGAGAACCCCCAGCACGAAGTCCTGGCGGCCGAGAACTTCTCCCTCCAGTTTGCCGACCTTTTCCAGCAGTACTTCCGCAACGAGGTGAAGGATGGCTTTGCCATGAACCGATTCCGCATTCTCCCCTTCAGCAGGGTGCGGGATTACCGGGAGACCGGCCGGAAGCAGCCGGGGGGCTCCCTCGGGGGCGTCGTGGCCAAAGCCGAAGTGGAGCTGGCTGACCAGGCCGCCAGGGGCCCGGAGGCCCACCCCCGAAGCCTGACCAAGGCCTGGAGCTCGGAGAACCTTGCAGGAACGGCTTCCCCCTTGGCCGCGAGGAGACCCTTTTCCCTGGACCGCCTGAGGAGGAGTTGGCGCAGCTTTTTCCGCAGGAGGTCCTTGGAGCCGGCCCCCGGAGGAGGGGAGATACTGGACTCCGTTTCAAAGCCTGGCCTTGCCCGGAAGTTCTTCCCGTGGGCCCTTTCGCAAGACCCCTCTTCTCAGATTCAGAAAGAGGGCAGTCTGAAATACTGGATGGTGACCGAGGCTACGATGGACAGCGGGGCTTGCTGGCAGAGGTGCCGGCTGGTTTTGCGGAGAGCGGGGGCTTTGGACAACGACGATTACATCCTGGAGGTGTTTGATCCCCCCAAGGTGAGTGAAGGGAGCCGCTCCCAGAGGCCTCTCTCTCTGTCTCTATGGCTTGTTGCGGTTTTGGTTGCTTGCTCTTCTGAAGCACAACTATGCCTTGTTTCCAGTAAGCAGAATTTGTCGCTTCCTGCATTTTCATTCATCCTCATGGCAAGAACCACTGAGGTGGGGCGTTTTGCCCAGAGGCTTTGTCTGTTTCCTACGGTGCACAATTATATTTCCAGAGTCCTCCTGCTAGTAGAGGGCAAGGGGTTGCTTTAGATCAGGCATAGCCAAGCTCCGGCCCTCCAGATGTTTGGGACTACAATTCCCATCATCCCTGACCACTGGTCCTGTTAGCTAGGGGTGATGGGATTTGTAGTCCCAGACATCTGGAGGGCCGGAGTTTGCCTATGCCTTGCCTATGGTTTGTTGTCGTGTTGGCACTTTGCGTGTGGGAAAGGAGACCCATTTTTGTGTGTGTGAATCTTCTACTAGAATGGTGGTGGTGTTGTTGTTGTTTACTGGTGAGAAGGACCTGGTTAAATGGTGCTTGCCCTAGTGAAAGTAGTGATCATCATCTTCCCAAGGGAGGTGGGTTTACTGAAAGTGAAACTGGGCTGGGGAGATGCTTTGTCTCTAGGTCTAAGCTTAGATGTGGGGTAGACATCGCCTCCCCTACCAGGCCTTTTTTCAGTTGTGCATTCATGGTGGTTTTGAGGCTGCAAAATGTGATCCCGCTTTTGGTGCAGTTTTGCGACAGCAAGAAAGTTTGGGGGTGCTTTGTTTCTAATTGGGATGTGTCTCGCCAAACCAAAAATGATCAAGGGTGTTGGTGTGACTCCCCTATAAAGAAAGGTCGCAGACTTGGAGACGTTTTAGTTTCGAGAAAAGGAAAATAAGAGCCGCCATTACAGAGGTTTATGGAGAAAATGGGCCGAGGAGAGTTTTCATCCTGTCGTAACACAGGAATTTGTTGACATCCGGTGATGCCAAATGTTGGAGGAGCCAGATAAAAGGAATTTGTTATTTACACAGCCCACAGTTGTTGTTGTTTATAAATGTTTTTATTTATTTTCAAAATTGCAAAAAAGCATAAAGATCAACGTAATGTAATATTTGGCTTGGCAAACATACAATCCTGGTAGTGCATGCTAGAATCAGAGTCCATCAGCTTATTCCAAAAGGTCTCCCACATCCTTCCATGTGTGTTTGGTGGTTTTCTTCCATGATCTTAGTCTCTTATAGCCTGTGAATGGCTACCAGGAGCTACAGAGTGATAAACGATCAGATTTTCCCTGTGCTGCTCATACGTCAGTTTTTCTGCCAATGCTACCATACAGAATCGAGTACAGTCGTACCTTCCTTTTCGAACATTTTGGCTCACGAACGCTGCAAACCCAGAAGTGACTGCTCTGGTTTGTGAACTGTTTTTGGAAGCCGAATGTCCGCCGGGACTTCCGTGGCTTCTGATTGGCTGCAGGAGCTTTCTGCAGCCAGTCAGAAGCCACACTTTGGTTTCTGAAAGTTTTGGAAGTGAAACGGACTCCCAGAACGGATTCCGTTCAACTTCCAAGGTACGACTGTATACCAAGATTCAGTATTTGCCAAATTCCTAGCACCTCGCAACTTCCAGCCACACTGCAGGTAGCAGAAATTGCAGCTGGCCTTTGTTGGTGAATCTCTGGCCAGGTTTTCCCTGTGAGAGATGGGCACACAGGTAGGTTGGCCGTATTTCATTAAAGACTTTAGACAAGGGTAGTCCAATGCATGGCCCTCTGCAACATATTATGCCCCCCCCCCCGCAGCCCTCGTCCTGCCTTTCCAAAGCCAGGTAAATGAGGTGTTGGGCTTTGAGAAGGAAGAAGAAGAGTTTGGATTTGATATCCCGCTTTATCACTACCCTAAGGAGTCTCAAAGGGATGTGGGTGGCACTGTGGGTTAAACCACAAAGCCTAGAACTTGCCGATCAGAAGGTCGGCGGTTTGAATCCCCGCTACGGGGTGAGCTCCCATCGCTCGGTCCCAGCTCCTGCCCACGTAGCAGTTTGAAAGCATGTCAGAGTGCAAGTAGATAAATAGGTACCACTCTGGCGGGAAGGGAAACGGCGTTTCCGTGTGCTGTTCTGGTTTGCCAGAAGTGGCTTAGTCATGCTGGCCACATGACCCGGAAGCTGCACGCCGGCTCCCTCGGCCAGTAAAGCGAGATGAGCGCCGCAACCCCAGAGTCGTCCATGACTGGACCTAACGGTCAGGAGTCCCTTTACCTTTATATTGAACCAGGGATGCAGGTGGCGCTGTGGTCTAAACCACTGAGCCTCTTGGGCTTGCCGATCAGAAGGTCGGCGGTTCGAATCCCCATGACTGGGTGAGCTCCCGTTGCTCGGTCCCTGCTTCTGCCAACCTAGCAGTTCGAAAGCACGTCAAAGTGCAAGTAGATAAATAGGTACCACTCCAGCAGGAAGGTAAACGGCGTTTCCGTGCGCTGCTCTGGTTTCGCCAGAATGACCTGGCAAAACTGTCTGCGGACAAACGCCGGCTCCCTTGGCCTGTAAAGAGAGATGAGCGCCACAACCCCAGAGTCATTTGCGACTGGACTTAACTGTCAGGGGCCCTTTATCTTTACCTTTTTACCAGGGAGGCAGCAGTGAAAGTAGAGAGGGAAAGAAGGTCAGTAGCAGTTTAGGATTTTTATCAGTTGCTGCCACCACCCCTCTCACCTGGTCCACATGTGAGCATTTTTTCTCTATTCACTTGGACTGAGTGAGGGACCCTGGGCTGTGGAGGCCATGGCCGCCCCAGAACTGCAGACCACGCCATTCAATCTCCCTCTGATTCAGTTCACATTGATTCCAAAACAACTTGCAAACCAAAAGGCAACTATCCTTTGAAATTCACCCTTGCCCCAATGTTAGTTTTCTACCCAGCCAATGTTTACAAAAAATGCATATCTTAGGGGGGAAATGTAAAGTATTATTAAAACAATGCATACATTTGTGAAAGTATATTAGGGGAAAGTGCTTGCAAAAATGTCTACATTCATCAAAACTGAAACCTTTTCTATTCTGTCAGGCCTATGCAGGCAATTAGGAATTCCTTTTTCCACAATATCTGATTTCTGATTTTAACTTTTTTATGTGGCTTTTATTGCATGGTTCTGTGTGCAGTTGTTGTGAACCGCTTTGATATTTTCTTTATAAATTAGCTGGATATAAGTATCTTTGCAAACAAACAAATGACGTGTTCCTTGGGAGAAACTTGCACTAAAGCGCATTCTGATTTTCAGGATGATCTGAGATAAACAAATTGCAGAATTGCCGCAGAAATGTGGAGAACTGGCTATAAGAGCTGTTTTGCAGTGGAACGGACTCCCTTGGGAGGTTGTGGACTCCCCTTCCTTGGAGGTTTTTAAATAGAGGTTGGACGGCCGTTTGTCATGGATGGTTTAGCTGAGATTCCCGCATTGCAGGGGGTTGGACTAGATGACCCTCGAAGGTCCCTTCCAACTCTACAATTCTTTAAAACTGGGGGAAATGAGAAACTAAGATAACCTGAAACTGACAGGCCCTTCCATCCCTTTTCCCTTTGAGAGATTTCTTGATTTAACCCAGAGATGATGATGATGATGATAATAATAATAATAATAATAATAATAATAATAATAATAATAATAATGCTACAGTGGTACCTCGGGTTACATATGCTTCAGCTTACAGACTCTGCTAACCCAGAAATAGTGCTTCAGGTTAAGAACTTTCCTTCAGGATGAGAACAGAAATTGCATGGTTGCGGCTAAAGTGGTGCTTCACGTTAAGAACAGTTTCAGGTTAAGAACAGACCTCCAGAATGAATTAAGTACTTAACCCGAGGTGTTGTTGTTTAGTTGTTTAGTCGTGTCCAACTCTTCGTGACCCCATGGACCAGAGCATGCCAGGCACTCCTGTCTTCCACTGCCTCCCGCAGTTTGGTCAAACTCATGCTGGTAGCTTTGAGAACACTGTCCAACCATCTCGTCCTCTGTCGTCCCCTTCTCCTTGTGCCCTCCATCTTTCCCAACATCAGGGTCTTTTCCGGGGAGTCTTCTCTTCTCATGAGGTGGCCAAAGTATTGGAGCCTCAGCTTCACAATCTGTCCTTCCAGTGAGCACTCAGGGCTGATGGATAGGTTTGATCTTCTTGCAGCCCATGAGACTCTCAAGAGTCTCCTCCAGCACCATAACTCAAAAGCATCAATTCTTCGGCAATCAGCCTTCTTTATGGTCCAGCTCTCACTTCCATACATCACTACTGGGAAAACCATAGCTTTAACCCGAGGTACCACTGTAATAATAATAATACCCCGCCCATCTGGCTGGGTTTCCCCAGCCACTCTGGGCGGCTTTCAACAGAATATTAAAATACAACAGAGATGGGGGCAGGTTGCGGTGGGGGGGGGGCGCACCTCTGACAGTTTGGTTGCCTTGTTGGGATGGAATCAACAGATAGCAGCTCTCCTCCTTTGGCAAGTAGAGCTGCTTTTACATGTCTGCAAAAATTTGGCCCCTGCATATCTCATGGGAGCTAAGGGCTGAAAGCCAGCGTCCTTGGATGAGCCGGCCGAGAGTAAATGCTCTTTCCATCTCTTTTGGGGTGTGTGTGTGTGTGCACGCATGTTTGCGCACTCGATCCTGGCTGCTGCCCCAAAGGAAGGTTTGTGAATGGCGAAAGCCTTTTCGCCTGGAAAATTTTGTAAGCGCCGGTCACAATGAAGATAGGAAAGGCCATCAGTAATAAGAATTGTCTTCTTTTTTTTTGCAGAGGAGAAATTTGCTCTCCTCCCTCCTCCTCCTCTCTTCCATGCCTTCACAGCGCCCCCCCCTCCCATGTTAAAACAGGAATCTATTCATCCGGCGCACAGAGGCCGGCAATTAATAGAGAGCCGAGGACGGGGATTGAATTTAAACTCACGTAGGCTCGCCAAAGGATTTGGTGTTTGGCGTTCGCTCTCCTCTCTCCCCAACCCCCAGCCCTTCAGGAACTAAATATA